AGTCCATCGTGCATACGCCTATTGTTGTGTACAGAACATCTTCAGTAACCTTTTATGCCTTCTGATGCTACAGTACACTCAACTAGGTTTACTTAACCATTCATAAAAAAAAGAAAACACATTTATCTACCTTATTCTTAATCCAAAAAAATGTTTTAACTTGTACAACATCCAACAGTTTCTCCCTAAAATTCCTTGTATTTTTAAACACTTTAGTATTCGTTCAATACCATAAGTACCAAGAAACAATAAGAAATATACATGCTCCCATCTCCTTCCTTGCTATCCTACCCAAACAATACATAAAAAACTTTGCCATTCCCCCTACTGTTTTAGATTGACTTTTTTATTTTTTTAAACATAAATTTTAAATGAATATTTAATTATTTATATGGATAATAATTAAAAAGTTTTTTTATATGAAGTTTTTCTTGAGTATTTTTATTTTATCAAAAAAATTTAATTATCATTTATATATAATGTTAAATTTTTCTATAAAATTTATATCTAAAAAATTAAAGTCAAATTAAAACTATTAAAAATAAATAAAGGCAATGTAACCAAGTATATGAACTAATTAATCAAGTATCTGGGAGTAGTTAAGTGACAGTCTATCTGTTTCCCCTAAAAAGTAGGGCTGGGCTTAAATAGTAGGGGCATTCTTGTTGATGGTCTTGCCTTCAAACAATCAGTTAGTTCTGTGTTAATGGCTGAAACTCTTGCACTAAGAGTTGCAGTAGGATGGGCAACTAGAAATGGCCTTAAAGAAATCATTTTCGAATCTGATAGCAAGGAGCTCATGCAGGTCGTTAAGAAAAAAGTTTCTTTGCCTTGGCAAATTGAACCTTTGGTGCTATCCATATGGGAGTTGTGCAAACCTTTCTCTTTTTGCGAGTTTAACTATGTATGCAGGAAGGTTAACTCCGTAGCTGATTGGGTGGCTAAATAGTGTTTTAAAAATAAGTGCCCTTTCTACTGGACCATCATTCCACCTACAATGCTATATAATCTTTTATGTACTAATGTAAATTATGGCTGATTAAATAATATAAGTTCTTATAAATGTTAAAAAAAATTAAAAAAAATAGATATATATATAATATTATAAGTTTTAATTAAATTAAAATAATAAATTATTAATTAACATGTAATATTGTATGAAAAATTATATAAAAAAATTATTTTTGAATCATTTTCCTTAAGATTTAAACCTCAAATTAACTAACTTTCTCCCTTCCCAGCCCTACAATTAATAATAAAAAATTTACAAAATATTTAACTTAAAAGAAATAGAAAGAAGGAGAAAAGAATTATAGCATTCTATTTCCCTCCATTCCCCTTCCTTTCTCTCCAACGTATAAACACCTAGTTGAAAGATTTAATTAGGTTGTCTGTGGAAATGTGTATTTGTATTTGATGTGTGTATTTAAAATATATAAATTTTAAATACATGTATTTTAAAATATATAAATTTTAAATACATGTATTTTAAAATATATTATTTGGATTAATTTTTAAAAAATGAATTTCAAATACATGTTTATTTAAATACATTGTTTGGATATATATTTTTTTTGAACAGCAAATGGATAATTCATTGATGAAAAAAACTGAGTACAAGGGATACTCAAACCCTTACTACAAATACAAAAAGCCAGCCCTTCAATGTTACTCCTATCTTTCGAATCATTACTACTTTCGTCTACAATTTACTAATAGACAAGAAGTAGGATCAATCATCCAATCCGAAAGACTAAAATAACACCTAGCTTTCCTTGCTTTAACCCAAGCAAAAGATCTCAATTGAATAAGCTCAAAAAGATTACTTTTGTTTACCTTTGAATCATGAAAAACCTTTCCGTTTCGTGCCATCCATATAGTCCACAAGACTGTATTCCATATGCAGTCCCACCCTTTTGAAATGTGTGGTTTTGTAGTCCATGTCCCAAAATGTTGAAATGTTGTCCAGCAATATCTGTGAAGTGTAAAGTTTGTTCCCCACCAGTTTGCGCATGCTTGCCACAATCTTCTAGCTACTCTACATTTTAAGAATAGGTGGTCAGCATCTTCGGTCTCTTCCTCGCATAAGACACAATTACCTTCAGCCATATCTTTGATAACTCCCCTTTTGATCAGATTTAACTTGGTTGGGATTCTGTCCAGCAATGTTTTCCAGTTAAACGCGGCCACTTTACTAGGGACGATGGGATTCCAAACCCTTTTAAATAATTTTTCTTCCTCTGGGTTCTTCCTTGGCATTGAAAGCCTTTGATAAGCTATTTTTGTTAAATATTGGCCTTCCTTGCTATGACACCATTTCCATCTATTTGGGCAGCCTGGTGTGATCTTCACTTCTTCAATCATCCCTTTGAGTTCTCGAGCTGCTTCTTCTTCCCATTCAAACAACTTCCGTCTCCATGTTAAATGCCATTTCCATGTGGCCCTCTCCGCATTACCCATTTCATGACATTCTTTTCCTTTCCCTGTTGACAATAAATACAGTCTTGGAAATTTGTTAGCTAGACACTCCTCCCCACACCATGAATCCCACCAGAATTTAACACCTCTCCCTTCCCCTATCTTCAGCTTAAAATCCTCCCACAACCATCTCGCATTCACTCCCTCCCCGGCCTTGAGTCTTCGGACATCTCTCCACCATAGCGATCCTATGTTCCTGCCATCACGTACCCAATCCAGCCAGTGTCCCCCTTCTGCTCCATATTTTCCTACAATGACACTCTTCCACAAGCCCTCTTCCATATTTGCCAACCTACTCAACCATTTTCCCATCAATGCCACATTAAACTTCTTCAAGTCTTTTACTCCTAAACCTCCCTCCTCCTTTGATCTACATACCCTCTCCCAACTAACCCAATTAATTTTCTTCCCCTCTCCCTCCCCTCCCCATAAAAAATGTAGCATATTTAAAAGTGAATTTTTTGTTAAATTAAATCCTCTTTTAATTATTTTTTATAAAATACAAGAATTTAGAATTGAAATTTAGGGGTTAGAAGATATATTTGAAATGGAAAATGATGTGTGCACACCGGATTCAACACCCAGGTGTGCACACTCCACATAAAAAAAAAATGGAGAACATCCGGTTCATTTTTTTTTTTATGTGGAGCGTGCACACTTGAGTGTTGAATCCGGGTGTGCACCAATCATGGTCCATTTGAAATACATGTAATTTTAACTTTGAAATATAAAGTTTTATATATATACATATGTATTTAGACAAAATTCAAATACATTACATTTAACTAAAAATAAACAATGTAATTAAATTTAGAGCTTCAAATTCAAATACATTCTAACCAAGTTCACGGTCCCAAACATGCCATTAAAGAATTCTAATACACGTGCAATTGAGATTACGATCAAGCCTTTATTAATTTTGCTAATTAATATATAATCCAATGAAAACGACCTATAAACGGCCGGAAAATGCCAAAAAAAAAATCATGTTTATCAAAGAAAAAATAAATAATAAAAATCACATAAACAAACAAACAAGGATGATGATAAACTCCACCTGGCTGCGTGTTTACAACTCAGTAAGGAACCATAGTCATCGTATTGATGAAGTGATCTCTCATCTTGTCGTATATATAATTAAGAAATTAATAAGATTAGATAATGAAGTTGGGGGAGTTATTATTTAAAGTACTACAAACAATTGAACATAATAGGTACAAAGAATTATGTAGTCCTAGTTTAATGGAGATGGAAGATGAGGTTACGTTAATTAATTAATTAATTGATCAAAATTAGAAACAACTGAGGTTTTCGTCTCGATCGAAAGAACCGAGAATTGCTCATAATTAAAAAAGAACCTAAAATTGTATATCGAATGAATTAAGGGACTGGATTATGATTGATTTAATATAGTTTTTGAGAGTTTAATTAGGTGTCAGCGAGACTGCATGACAATTGCAATCATGATTTAAGAAGTGTAAGGATATTAACAGCATTATCATGTTGTCTGCTACTTAAACTATGAAAGATTATTTGCAACTTGTTCAGTTTGTAGGCACAATGCATGCATGATCGTGATGCATACACGTGTGCAGTTGCGAGAGGCTATTAGAAGGATATGATTAATTTAATTAATTTGTTGAATCAATGAAAATGATATACTTATAATAATATATAAAATTGTAAATAAATAAATATTAATTTATATGTCGTGAAAATTGTGCATGTAAATTCAATATAAGATTTACATCCAATTTAAAATCAATTAGTAATAGGTGTAGTGACATTCAATATATTTAATCCACAAGTTTCTTATTTTTATATTTGATGTAAAATTTTTTCGCTTAACATGTCCCCTCCCCTCACGTGCAGGCCCGTTATAAATGTCAATGTCGAGTCTTGTCAC